GTGGACTAAGGGAGGCTTCCTAATCAGCCCCTGACTTGGGAAGTGCCCCAAGTGCTTGTACTGGGTCTAGCACCCATTGGACGATCAGGCCTGTGTTTTCCAAGGTGCGCAGAGCCAGAAGTGAGTCCAGAGCCTTGGATGGTGGCAGCGGGAACCCCAGGCTAGCGGGTGTGCTCCAGGGAAGGGGTCGGCCGGACGGGAGGCACCCTAAGGGAGGCACTCGGAGCCTGGAAGGTGGTCGGGCGCAGGGAGGTGGGCGGCTCAACGCAGGAGCGCCCCCTACTGGCCCGCCACAGGGCTTTCCAGAGGGGCTGAGCTGCATGTGTGCATATTCCCCAGCGTATGGAAGTGGCAGAAAGAGGAAATCCACCCCCGTTTTGTGTTGCAGAGGTTGCCTTCCCCCCTCCCCTGAACTCCGGGTTGCTAGTTGAAATCTCGGGGGTGTTGGTTGTAGCCGTGTTGGTCTAAGGACATAGGCAGACATTTACCCAAAGAGCCTTGTCTGTATTGGAAATCTCTGGCTATATCTGCTTAACCATGTTTGCACACCTAAGAGTGCATCGTGTGGCACCCCGCAGCACCCTTGAAAGGCTCTCGAGGCACCCCAGGGTGCCAGGTGAGAATCACTGGACTTAGCTTGCTAAGTCATTTTGGGGTGCCAGAGGACTCGGTGTCGCTGCTGGAAGCGTTTCATTTCCCGGCTATTCAGACGTACAAAATAGAGGCTCCCGGCTGGAGACGGCGCTGCAGCACGGCCACGCTCTTGCTGACTGCAGCTCGCGCTGCTCCGCGTGTGCTCGTTGCTGCCGCCGGTTGATTTCTTAGCTGTGCTTCAGCCTCCCTCTCCGTGGCCCGCTCGACAGATCTCTCGATTATAGTCCCCGGTGTTTATTTGTCTCGCTCAGGCGTGCGCGTGCTCCAAGGTGGGGCTTATTATGGGGCTGGTGGGTTCGAAATGTAGGGAACGCAGCGTGCTTGGCTTGCTGAACAGATGCCGAGGATGCAGCCAGCAAAGCAGCATGTAATCGGAGCAGGAGGATCTCTGCAGAGCCGGGAAGGGGGGCACGGCAATGCCAATATGATCCCCACCCACATCCTTGCCACAGACCTTCTCCCCTCCCCTGTCCCCAGCCTGGATAGTGCATGTTAGCCCTGCTGCAAACCCTTGTCTCACCTGGGACTGCTTCCCTGGATGTGCAAATGGGCAAAGCCCAGGGGCTGGGAATGGTCCAGGGCTCCCATCTGCACCCCTTCCTCCCTGCCATGCTCCTTTCTCTCCTCCTTGCACGGTCCCCTTTGCTGCGTTCGGTGGGCGCCTCGAGAGGGACTGGGAATTTCTGTGCCCTGAGAAAATCCAGGAGATCGATGGGATTTTTTCCTTTTCTTTTCCCAGGTGAGGTCCTGGGAAATGACATCCTAGAGGGGGGAAACCCCGTGTTTTGGGTCCATTCGGTTGTTTCTCTGCAATCCATCCGAAAGGCCTCTCGTTACGCATCTAGTTCTGTTGTGAGGCTACACAATAAGCTCTTGCTGTCCCCCACCTATGCAACGCTCTGGCCAGCACTTTGCCTCCCTTTGTCCCATGGGAGGAGAGGCACAGAAGCTAAGTGACATGCCCGAGGTGGTGTAGGAAGCCTGTAGCAGAGCAGGGGGTGGCATTTGGGCTTTCCAAGCCCCCCATCTCCCTCCAGGGGTGAAAGGCAGGTCTCGCAGGCCTTCCAGCTGATCTCTCAGCAATGTGCTCAGTATTTCTTTTGCAATGTTACAGGGGTACGGCTCTACTGGCTGTCCCGAAGTCGCAGCCGGATGGAGAGGAGAGACACTTCCCTATCCCGGGGCAGGGTTCAGCCTTTAGAAACCATCCCTGCAGCATCTCACCGGCATGGCGGGGAGGAAGGGGTGCCGAGCAGATGGACCAGTGGGTTTCTAAGCTGAGTTTTGACCGTTGTCTCCGCTTCATCCTTAAAAGACGCCTAGGAGGGGAGACATTAATGAATGCAGCTTCCAAGGGGGAGAGACCAGAGCCTGCCTTCCCATCCCCACTGTTCAGCCTGGCGTTGCGCGGCTCGGAAGGGCTCTCGGGAGGACGTGTGAACGCGCCACGGCGTGGATAACCCGCAGCCAGCCTGGCCTGCAGAAGACCGATGCGGCTGATCCCAGCTAAATGGAGCCCGGGTGGTTCATGCTACAGTAACTTCCCTTGTTGTTTGCTTTACTCAGCCGGCCTGAAGGGCCTTTCAGAGCCTCCATTAGTGCACTTATTTGTGTGTTTGTGGCTGCTTTCGCCGGCAGCCCCTTTTCTTTCCTTTTTTCTTTCTTGGATGCTCTTGGCTTCTTTGCTCTAATTACACTTCTCTTTCTCATGTCCCCTGAATAGTCGGGTTAACAAACAATAGCAATCGCCCAACCCACCTCCCCAGCACTTGTTGCATAGGAGGATGCTGGGTTGGGCTCTCCAGAGGGGCTGAGCTGCATGTGTGCGTATTCCCTGTGTGTGGAAGTGGCAGGAAGAGGAAATCCACCCCTGTTTTGTGTTGCGGAGACCGTGTTGTGTTCCCCAGTGCTGCGGGACTCAAAGGACTCAGGGTAGTTTTGCCCCAGGGGTATCAACGAGGAGCAGGGTTTTGCTAACTGGAGCGTGGCCTGCATTTATCAGCTTCCTCCGCTCTCCTGCAGAGCCAGGCCAGGCGGGAGAGAGCGACCTGGCCCCTTGGTCCTCAGCTTGAGCAAGGAGTCCTGAAACCAGACTTGCCTTCTCAGCCTGGAGGGACTGGCCAGGTGCAAGGTGCATTGGTGTCAAGGGCACGGATGCTGCAGCGTGCCACCTACCTCCAGTCCCGCCGGGGTAGAGTCAGTACTATCTGCGCTGGGTGCCGTGGATGGAGACATGCATGTGCTGCATGGCCCAGCCTGGAGAGACCGCCCGGTGCTTCTCGCAGGAGCCCGAGTCCAAGAGGAGAGACGCAGATGGGTAGATGGGGAGCAAGCAGCACATCCCCCAAAATGGAGTCAATCCCCCGTCCTCCATCCTGCTGAGCAGCTCAGTGATTGCCTCAGTTTCCCTCCACCTCGAGGGGTTTAAGGGAGAATTGCATGAAGAAAGCAAGCTGCCACGCTCCTTCCAAACCTCTGCAAGCTTTCCAGCATCCCTGCCTCCCAAAACCCTTCCCTGCCTTTCACTGTCCTTTCAGCCAGAGCACTTCATGGCAAGGATTTGAAGGGAGCTTTTGTTCTGCAGAGAGCGGAGTTGAGTCCTCGGTGAAAAGTGAAAACCTGTCAGATCTTTACAGGCGCTGGAGGTGGGGAGGGCAAAGGCAGATGAGTGACAAATCGGAGGTTGTTCTCCAGAAGGAGCAGGGATGTTGGGAAGACAGGGCAGGAGTCACTTGGAGCTCAGCTCTCACTTAACTTCAAGCACCAAGGCAGATGCCAAAAATAAATTAGTTTGGAAAGGGCTGAGACATTGCTGAAGAACTGGGGGACTGCTCAGGTTTGGCTTCCACTGGAAAGGGAAACGTAAAACAGATATAGAGATATAGATATGTTTTACATTTCCCTTTCCAGTGGAATCGAACCCTGAGCAGCCCCCAGTTCTTCAGCAGCACAGAAACCAGATGTATATATCTATAGAAATCTATATGTCTATCTCTCTAGATAGATAAATCTATCTCTCTAAATAGATATAGATCTATAGGTTTCTATAGAGAAATCTATCTATAGCTATAGGTATCTATATATAAAAATGCACACACACAACTATAGTGTGTGCAATATATATGTATACATGCGCACACACACACAACTATATGTAACTACACACACACAACCCTGCGTGCATGTGTATATATCACTAAACATGTATAACCCTGAGTGCATGTGTAATATATAGATGTATATGCACACATACAAACGCAACTATATATAACTATATATAGTGTGCATGCAATATATACATGCACATATACACACAAAACTATATAAAGCTATATGTACGTAATAAAACATACATATATACAATGACATACACACACACTATAGTGATATGTGTAATATATCTATCATTTTTAATTTGATGTGTAAGACATTCAGCTTTTTAGCTGAGCAAGAAGAATATTTCATTGGTTTTCTTAACTTCAGGTCATGGAAGCAGCTTATTGATATTCTTTTTTTCCCCTCTTTGTCTCTCCTTTTCTCTGCCCAACAAATGGAAAACTTGAGGGTTTAATTTTCCTGGGATCCACTGAGTGTCTCTGAGCTAATCACTTCCTTGTCCCCGCAGGGGTAGGGCATTAGCAGTGCCGTCCTCTCCCGCGCCGTTACCTGTGGCGAGTTTGGGGTGTTCTTGGTGTTTTGGACATTGTGCCTCGCAGCTGAGTGTTGAAGGAGCGGGTGTGGGCATTTCTTGGGTTAGTGCTTGCCTATGAATGGAGGTGACTGAACTCCACGGTCCGGGAGGATGCTCCCAGTTTTGTATTCCCACCTGCTGCCCGGCCCCCGGCTGTACAGCGGGCAAGATGGAAAAAAGAGCGGATGGATGGATGGTCAAGGGGCCGAGCTGGGGACATGCTCCCTGCTTTGGGGAGCTGTTTTCTTGCAGGACTGGAGACCTAAGAGTCTCAGCAGAACGACTCGATAGTACAAACTCTCATGCATGCAGTCAGTGGGTACAAAATGTAGTCCTTTGCAGGATTTGCATTCCCACCGGTAGGGATGCAATAGCTGGTTGGAGGACCACAGGCCAAACTCAGCCTGGCATGAGCAGGAGGGGCCCTGCCATAGTCGGTGGTGACAACAGCTTGGACGAGAGCTGATTTGGGGGCTAAGAGTCAAGCAGATTCATTGCTGCAAAGGGGGAAAGGACTTGACATATATAGCATGCTCGGCACAAGAGCGTATGCATCTTGTGGTTCAGTTGGTCTATAAGATGCATCTTTACCCTGGCTTCTGCTTTGCTTTCCCCTACCTCTGCTTAAATATATCCTCCTTTCTCGCTCGTACCGTCAGCTCTCTGCTCTCAACTCGGAGGATGCTGCATCCCTCTCCAGCCTGGAACGGGAAAAATGAACAGGGGTTTTCATCCTTCTTGAGGGATGTGAGCAGGTCACAGCGCCTGTTGGCTGATGAACCCAGGGGCTGCTGTAATGCAGGGCTGGATTTTGGTTTGGATGACAGAAACGTCAGGAAAAGATCAGAGCTTAAATCTCGGCTCCCAGAGCAAAGAAATCAGCTCACAAGCAACAAATAGAAAAGCCTGATGTCTCAGGTCCCCATGCCCAGCCCAGCCCTCTCCCCTGGAGCATGCCAGCGGGGCTGGACTGACGCCTGGACAGATCGGTTATTCATTCGGACTTGCCGCTTTGCATTGGCCAAAAAAAACACTTGCAATTCAGGTGAAATCTGCTGGAGAGCTTCCACAGGCCAGAAACGGGGGAGACGGACGCAGCTTGTCCCTTCCCCACGTGTCCGTCTGAGTCTTTCTTTTCTTGGCATTTCCATTTTGACATTTGCTTGCTTGAAGGAGAAGGAAAAAGTAAAAAGGCTGCTGCACTCTTTATTGCATGGGGTTTTATTTTCCCTTTGGCTTTTTCTTTATGCTGAGAAAAACCAGAACTGTTTCATTTCTGCTCAAACAAAAATGAAACTTCTGATTCCTTATCTCCCCCACTCTCTTTTTTTTTTTTGGCTAGCAGGCTACGACGACCCACTATTCGTAGAGCTCTTATTGTTCTTCAGCATGGCTGATAAATTTAGGCCAGAAATAAGGGGCAGATCTGTAATGGGAGTGTGATTATCTATTGGACCCACTCAGGGGCAGATCTGTAATGGGAGTGTGATTATCTGTTGGGCCCACTCCCCCAGGGTGCAGCAGCCTTTCCCTCACCAAGCCAAGACTGGGGGTGTGTAAAGACATTGCTTTTTTCGCCTTTTAAAGTGCTTTATTGCTATGACTTAAGAGAAATGCATGGCTTTACTGCACTTTAAAAAATGGGTATAGTGCTTTAAATTAACCCTTGTTAAACGAGGTATTAAATTTGCAGCACCGTGTTTTACAGCAGTTTAGCAGCGCACAGTGCTTTAAATAACTTCTGTACACATTTCTGACCAGTGGAGAAGCCCCAGGAGGCCGCAGAGCATCCCCTGCCTCCTAGCCGGGGACGTCCAGGGAGGCTCAGGGCCCTCCAAACACCGCACGTCTGTCATGGTTAATAGTGTTGTAACTTTATAGTGCTTTAAAAAGTGCTCTAAATTACAGCGCTGTGAAAGGTGCACAGAGCACTTCTGTGCGCATCCTGGATGTCTCCCAAGCTGGGAGATCTGGGCTCAGGCTGGGAGAAAGCAGGCTGCCTGTGCTATGTGCATGTAGGGAGTCCGGCCAGAGGAGCACTGGGCTGGCTCATAGGCTTATAGCCTATCTCCGCTGCTTTCATGAGGGTCTGGAGGTGGGTGAGCTCTTCTCAGCTCCTGTCCTCCGCTTCTTTCTCCGGCAGGGCCCTGCTTTCCAATGCACGAACTTGAAATGAAGCTCCTAAAGCCACAGCTGGATTTCACCGAGCTTTCTCGGTGATTTCTAAACCTAGGTTGCTCCCTGCTCCCGGCCTCCAAGGGCCCACATGTATTTGGGGGCAAAAGCCAGCTTCTTGGAGAGTTTGCCTAACTCCTGTTAATGCACCTCTCCTCCCTCGAAGAGCTAACGGCGCCTGGGAATAGCAAATGAAGTCTTTAGTCCCACTAATTAGAGCATCTAATAAATGTCAGCTTTCATAAGCAGCCACTTATAGCTGGCATCCAGGGAAAACCTGGAGATGGAGGGGAAGCTTTGTTTTAATGACTGGGAGGATTTGTGAGGCATGGAGATGGGCCGGGATTTCTGCATCTCGGTCCAGAGGGGACCACGGCGGATAAAGTGCTGGTGTGGGACTCGGTCGACCTGGCATTGGTTCCTGGTTATAGGTATCAATCCCCTTTGACCAGGATGCTAGTCTGAAGTCCACTAGAAGGCAGGAGGGATTTGCTCCTTATAAACCAACCTCAGCAGATCTCGGAGGTCACCAGATGACACTGGGATCCAGGTGGAAGTTGTTGCCAGCTGACACCCTAGCCCTCCTTGCAGGCAAGGTGCTCCCTGGGGCTGGGTGAACAACTGCAGTCTCTTTTCCCCCTTGCAAGCCATCTGCAAACACTTTGTTCGGGTCTCGGTGGTCAGGCATTGTTCTCGGATGTGTTTCGGCGATGGGTAAGTCGTTATCTGCCCACTAGAAAACCTGCAAACACTCTTCTACCTTTCTTCTGTCACTGGTTATCTGCTGGCAGCACTGGGCCACGTGGGTGAAACTCCTGAGTTTGTAAAGCGATGGCTCGGGGTTTATATTCTTTCCCACGACATGCACACGGACTTGACAGGGGACAGTAGCACCTAGGCACATATGAAACCCTTGATTTGTTGCTATGAGCCCAAATGGGTAACTCAAGACCCCTCTTCCCAGCCATAACCTTCAGGGCTTAGGAGCCTCACGCTATCTGCAAACTATTTGCAAACAGAACAGTTGGGTTTGTAGCAACCGCTGGACAGAGGTTGAATAAAGACAATAAAGGAAAAAAAATCCTGGCCTGGGAGAAATAGATTTGCAAGTAACTGGGACGTCTCTGTGTTTGCATCGACAGGATGAAGTTGCGCTGCGCCCTGCTGCTTACTCTGTGGCTGGAGATGGCCACGCTCAGCACTGGCTCAGGTAAGACCGCTGTGATATCTTGGGGAAGTGGATGCAGTGGATTTTGCACTTTGCATGCTCTCTTCCATGTAGGATGTCCATTTTCATCTCTTAGCCTTTAGACTGGTGTGTTTAGTGCTAAAAAAAAAGAAACAATCATAATTTGGGAGTGCTGAAGCGATGTTGTATTGGGTATTTAAAGTCCTGACTGCAGAAGGCATCTATGTAAACCTGGTGTGGAAGTGTGCTAGCTGTTTGCACTGGCTGTGCAAGCCCTCAGACACCACAGTGACAAGCGTGCATGCAAAGGCCTGTCTAAGCAGCATCCATTTGAGTGCCCTGCAGAGACCAGCGTCACGCCACTCATACAATCATAGAAAAATGAATGTTAGAAGGGAGCTCAGGAGGTCACATCTAGTCCAACCCCTGCTCCAAGCAGGACCAGCCCCAACTACATCATCCCAGACGAGGCTTTATCTAGCTGGGTCTTCAAAACCTCCAAGGACGGAGAGTCCACCACCTCTCTGGGTAACCTGTTCCAGTGCTTCACCACCCTCCTCGTGAGAAACTCTCTCAATATCCATCCTCAACTTCCCTTGCTGCAACTTGAGCCCATTGCTCCTTCTGTCAGATCTCTCCACTGAGACCAGTCCATCTCTTTGCAACCCCTTCTTCGGGGAGGTGAAGGCTGCTATTCAATCCCCCTCGGTCTTCTCTTCTGCAGACTAAATCAGCCCATTTCCCTCAGCCTCTCCTCACCAGTTGTGTCTCTCAACCTCACAACCATTTTCATTCTAGCCGGTCTCATCTGCTGGTGAAATGAAGGCAGAATGAGTGACTTGCCCAGGGTGACTCAGTGAACCGGTGGCAGGGCAAGGACTAGCACGTGCTGATCTTTCCTTCCTGTCAGATCCGGGGAGCAAACCCTTGGCCCTCACCTTCTGACTCATCTCAGTGACAGACGCCGAGGCCGGGGCTCCTTGAATAGAGCGAGCTCTCATACCATCTCCATTGAGTCATTTTCTCTGCAGGAAATGTGTTGTAATCCTCGCAGCCTCTTCTGGCACGCGCTCAGCTCGGAGCCGTTCATGAAGTGTGGGATTGTGTCCAGCTCGGCACAAGGCTTCCGACATGGGGGCAGAGGATGGTGCGGTTTGCAGAAGGGAGGGAAGAAAGCCATGCAGGCATCGGCTCTCAGGCCCCGTTAGCCCCTTTGCACTGTGAGGAAGCCTGTCCCTTGTGTTAAACCATGAGCACATGCACAGCAAAGGCAGCTCATGGTGCAAGACTCATCCCTCTGCAGCTGCAAAGCCCCGCACAGGGCTGGGGTCCAGGACTCTTAACTGGCCTGCAAGACTCGAGTCATCTTTGCTGGTGATGCACGCCCTGGATAGACCTTCTCTCTCGAGCCCTGCCTTGCAGAGATGGGGGTCAGCCCCTGCTCCGTGAACTGGCAGCTTCTCCCTGGGAATTCCCGACATTGCACCCGTTTCCGGCTGCCGGCTGTGTCACGCACGGGGCGCTGCACTGTTTCCCCGGCCCCAGGCAGCGTTGTGACACCCACCGCAGGATGCCTGAATATTGGGAAACACCTGCAGTTCCCCAGGGAGTTGGGAAACAGCCCCAGAAGCTGCATGCAAGGTTGAGACGAGCCTCTGATCTGTGGGATAAGCTGTGCGGGGGCAGGGATTGCATGCTCAGCTGCCCCTGGAGTCCTTGAGCTGTGCACCCTGCATGGTTTCAGCCCCCCTAACCCTAACCCTAGGGTTTGCACAGGGACGGCCTTACTTGTGCTGATCAGTCGGGGTAGGGAGCTGAGCCAGGAGGGAGAGCCCGCAGGACTAGGCTCTGTGCTGATTTACACCAATGGTAGTGTCCAAATTGGGGCTTTGCTGCTGACTTTCATTGGGCAGTGTGCATGGAGCCCCTCTCTCCACCCCGAGGGCCCAGTCCTGAGCCCTACAGCAGGGCAGGCTGTTACTGATGTAGACCCCCAGTAACTCCCGACGTCAGCATCCTCATGACCCAAATCGGGGTGCAGGGGTCATGCTTCTCCCCAGCCAGGGCGAATTTGGCTGCTATATTGAATAGGCGTGCGGCGGACCAGGGAGAAGGGAAGATGAATGGGTTACAGCATGTGTAAATGCTCAGGGTCATCACCCTGCAGCTGTGAGGCTAGCGATGGGGCAGGTGGCAGCGGCCTTATTTCTCTCGTGATTTGTGACAGCCCTGGATGCCGAGAAGCTTATCCCGGTGTGTGAAGTAAGACGAAAAGAATATGTGAATAGATTCTCCGCTGTCTGCTAGTATTTCCTGCCTTCCTCCTCCTCTCCCCTGGCTCGTGCTGGCTGTCCTAGCCCAGGTAGATGCTCATCACCTGCCCTACCGGCGTGAAGCTACCCTGGTCTTATTTGTGTGCAAGGCTTTGGGACGAACTGATCACCCTGGCATGTGCAATGCTAGGGATGGAGCCCGGGAACAGGTGGGCAGACCCCCCAGGTACCCCCCCTGCTGCATGTCAGCAGGGATGGAGCCCTCCTTGGGGGAAGCGAAGAGGGGGCAGTCTTCAAGGCAGACCCTGCTTGCGCTGTGCATGTGTCTAAACTTATCTGGAGACCATCCAGTCCCCGGCAGGATGCAGCCCACCTCACTGAGGTTGCCAGCCTGTTGTTTCAGGGGAGATGTTGGTCTCATTTTGCATGAAGCCAGTTTGAATCAGTGGCCTGTTTGCTTCGAGCTCCATAGCCCATCACGTAGCACACAGAGGCACCAATTTAGACATGATAACAGGGCTTTGAATGTGCTAGTCAGGGTTGCAGCCTGCACTTTTGAGGTCTTGTGAGCCTGCTTTCGGGTGTGTTTTCCTTCCATTCGTCCCTGCTGCCTGTTTTGGAGCAGTTTGATGTCCTGTCTGAGCAGGATGGGGCAGCGATGGACAGCAGTGGTTATTGCAGCCTTGTTGCCTCTAGCATGGTCAGCATGAGCCCAGATGTGCTCGGTGCTTGGATGAGAGCGGCCTGGTAACCCCAGGTGCCTCCAGGAGTTGGGCTTATGATTCAGTCGGTGGCATCGTCTGTTCAACCAGTGCCCTGGCTTGTTGGCAGGGACACGGGACTGCTCGAGGTGCAACCTTGGAGAGATGCTGTGAGGAAGTAGACCCTCAAGGTCACTAGGTTTCAGGCACTGTAATGAGATTCGAGTGGGACTCTTGTGACCCAGCCACTGGGAGTGATTGTACCCGGACAGCTCGCTGCACGGCTTGAGATCTCACAGCGCCATGCCCTGTTACTGGGTGCTGAGAAACAGCGGTGGCGTTCCACCCCAGAGGTGGCCGCAGCTCAGCGGTAAGGCATTGGAGACATCCCTGCCTGCAGATCCCTTTGGGATCCTTCCAGACGACGAGTAAGTCCAGGAAGGAGGAATAACGAGGTATGTGTGATGAAGGGGAGCAAGGGAAGCTGAGATAAGAGGCTCGAGGTGCAACCCAGGCAGGCTGTGAGAGAGCTGGGAGTCGAACCCGGGTCCCGAGCTAATGCTGTGACCGCACCGCAGACCCTTGCCAGCATCACGGTAGCTCCACAAATCCCAGTACACTGCATCTGGGCATTTGCACTGGCCTTTCTAGCCACCTTCTTACACAAAAGCTTTTATTCTCCCCTTCTGCTGCCCTCTCCCACCCACTTCATTGAGGGCACTGATGGGCAGGGGCTTCCTCTCGCTGTGAGCACTGTCCGCACGGGGCACAGATCTCCCTAGGGACACCCCTATCTAGCAATGCACTGAGATTGCTCAAAAACAGCAAGGACTTTCCCAGGCACCGTTGCATAGTCTTGCATCGTGCCTGGATGTTTGCATGAGGTATCGAGCAACGTAGTGACAGCCTGAAGCTTGGAAATCATCATGCTGCTTTCCTGAGTCGCGGTCGCACCAGCTCCTGGCCTGGAGCGGAGGGTGGGAATAGTCTGGTAATTGTGAGTTAACACTTAATTGCTTTGCACAAGCACCCGCCTTGCTTCAGGGAGGGGGTTCTTCGCCCCTCCCAGCTTGCAGCGTGGCTCAGCTTGGTTTGAGGTAACCAGGGCGGCAGCTGAAGATGGTAGGAGCAGCTCATTGCTGTTTCTGACACAGCGCATTGGGGTTGATCCGGGCCGGAGCAGCCAGAGCTTGCTGGAGCACTTCTTGTGGGGAAGCCTTGGTGAAACCCTGCCGTCCTCGTGCTGTCTGCAGGGCGGGAGGGCAGCTTTTCAAGGATGCAAGACCATTGGAGAAGGATGCATTGATCTGCCCGTGCTCTATGATGGCACGATAGATGGCCCGTCATGTGGGCGGCTCTTTCTTCGTCCTTCTCGACAGCGTTGGCTGGAGGGACCCTTTGCAATGAAGCACAATCCGGAGCCCAGCAGGGTTGGCAAAAGTTCACTGGCTACGAGCTTTGAAAATGAAGGCACTGGGAACAGTTTAGACCTGGGTCCTGTTTCCTTTGAACTGCTGGTACAGGGGAAAGTGGGGTAAAGCTACTGGGCTTGCTCGCTCTGTACTCTATTTTTGGGAACCTCTTATGGAGCAAGCGATGGCTTAAAGCAATGCCGTACAGCTCTGTGGGCCAAAGGAGTGGTTTGTGGGGTCAGTCCACGGCCAGATCCCATGCAGGGTCAGCACATGGGGTTGGTCCACGGCTGCAACCCTGCTCTCCAGATCCAGTTGCATACCGGTGCGCATCGTATCTGGCCTCCGGAGCTGCTCGCAGGTTCAGATGTTTTTTCAGTGAGGGACTGGCTATGAACACTGCCAAATTTCTGGACCCTCGGGGAGGGGTTGAGACCCCCTAGCTTGAAGTGCTTGCACTATTGCACCATACAAAGTGATGCTCCCTGCTTCGCTGCATGGGAGTGACCGTGCATCTGGAAGAGGAGGTTTTGAGCCTGTGCCTAGGGCATGCCTAGATGCATAGGAGTTTGGGAGAGAAGCTGAGAGGTGTCCCATGACATTTATTGCCTCCTTTACTGAGGTCCAGTGATGCT